TTTTACTTGAAATTCCGGATCAAAAATTTGGTGCCGCTTACGCAGTACAGTTATTCTTAATAATAATAATAATTATGATAACAATTGGTTGATACGATAATGAAATTAAGTTATTCACACTTGTATTTATAGCAAGGTCAACAACGTTGGTCGTCTCGATCGTATCATGCTCGACGACATAATTTAGATATAATATGTTTTCGGGTATGTTTTTACAAAATCCTTATTACAATAAATATAATGAATAAATGATTCATAACTTATTTAAATTTCGTTGGGTAGTGCGGGAAAAAAGGACATAAAGCCTATAATTGTCGATATTTAGAGAAATCATTTTCGAAAGGAAATGAAATTAGCACAAAGTAAATTCATTTATAGGATATTCTTTAAACGGAAATGTAATGTATATATCTGATATATTTAAGAATCTTTCTAGTATCTGCTTAGCTTATCTATTTTATGTAACATTTTAAAATCAAAAATTTTTTTTTCTTAAATTAGAGCACAAATATTATTTATAACTGTCGGCTAGTAAAGAACCTTAAAAACAAAAAATTGCTATATACTGTATATGAATTAAATAATCATGCATAAACACTAATTCTTCATCGTAAATCTCAAAGAATTTAATCATCAAGTTCAAGATAAAAGACTCCAGATAAACCCACAGTATCAACCGGAAAGACCATTGCGATATAATTTTCTTCGTATGACCATGATACTTGGGGCTTAAATTCGACATAGCCAACTCCATAGTACTATTTTAATGAAAGAAAATTAAGACCAATTTTAATGATTAATTTATTAAGTAATATGAGACTTACAGCAGTATCTGTATAAACGATTGGCCACGGTGGTTCAGTTGTAACATTCCAACCATAGATTATAACTTGAACAACTGTGTTATCTGTTATGTTATATAAAGACGCGTACATTATTATGTTAAAGATCTACAGTATTTGTTAGATGTGAATGTGTTATAAGTGTTAAATAATACTTAAAGCTCTCTCAACTCTGAAGACACGTACAAGTCAAATCACCACAAGAAGTGGTATTCCAAATAACCCAAGATGTTTCATCAACCTTGATAAGTTGGTTTTCTAATGGATAGGTTACATTAATTCTACAGTGTGTGGAAATAGTGTCTTGCCTTTTGAATGACTTGCGTTTTTCAAGTGACGATGCAAAGACCATAGCTGTAAATATGAACATGAATAAATTAAAAATCTGAGATGAAAATTTCATCTTTATTAAGAAAGAACGTGAAC